TTTGGACTCTGCAGTTAAGTCTGGGCCTCACCTCTGCTATCACTGGAGGTGTGTCTGGCTGGCCAGGGGCTGGGATCTCTCCGCTCTGCTTGCCTTGGGACTATGCATGAGCAGGGACAGAGGTGGCTTTTCTTGCCTTCTCCCTCCCCGCTTCAAGGACTGAGATAAGGCAGCAGGGAAGAAACATGGCAAGATAAATTCAGAAGCGACAAAACTCAGTGAGGTGAAGCGAGATACATTCTGTAATGCGTTTGGTGAGCCGTCAAATCCTCTCTCTTATCCCATGGGAATCCCAGATACACAAGCAAATCATCAAGCCCTGTAAACTACATCATAAGCGTCTTCGTCTGGAAAACATCATCACGCTAATCCGTTTGTCCTCGCAGCCAAATGATTAAAGTTTGAAAACTAAATTATACATGTTGCTGCACCAGTGTAAACACAATAATGGCTCTCCTCTGTTACACCTGTAAGCTCTGCTGTAACTGCTTTAATGAGCTCTCAGCCTCGTCATCCAAAAAGAAGACATGATCACATGGTGGTTTATGCTGGAAAGGTGTCCCTCACGCTGCTGGTGGCACCAGCTGCAAGGCACCAGCTTGGAGGAGCTGCATGGGAGCTGCAGACCAGGCACCCGCAGTGGGTGCCTTCCCCAGAGCTGGGGAGCTACTGAAATGGGGCTGGAGGTGCAGCCCCCCAGAGTGGGACACTGCCAAACACATTGTGAGCCCCGGCTGTAGGCTGTGGGAAACCCTGGGAGGGGAATGGGAATCTATCTCCATGACATAGGGTTGTCCTACGGTGTTGGAGTTATTCCAAGCTTGCATCTTCTCAGTTTAATTTAATAACAGGCTGCAAGCTCTACTTTGATCTGCTTGTGTTTTTCACTAGTTCCATATTTAACTGAATTCACCATCATAAAGACCAGGAACTGTTTCCCTCTCTGTGCCAGGCTGGGTTCTGTGGGACGTGCAAAGGACACACCTGCATGGTGGGTTTCTGCCCTGCCAGGATGGGGGATCCTGTTATCCACAGAGACAGAGGGAGCAGAGGAATCTGGAGTCGGTGGATTCCTTTCCCCAGGCATGTGGCTGGACCTGAAAATCCAGCTGCCTGGCTTTTTTTGTTTACTGGTTTCCATATCTGCTCCATGGATTCTGGGAATGTGCTGCAGGACTCTCCGTTTCTTTCCGGGAGGCCCATCAGTGGAACGGGAGCTGGTTTGTTTGCGCCTTCCAAAATCTGCAGAGTGGAACCTGCTTTGCCTCGAGGCTTGTTGTGTTTATTAAGCATTACTTTGTGTCTGTATCCCAGGTGTCACCTTCAGCCCTCTCCAGGGCAAGAGACTTTCTGGCCATGGGCTCTCCCACCTGCTTCTGGCTGCGGCCCCACAAATGCCGCTGGTACCCCAAACACAGCAGAAACAACTGCCTGAATGTTTGTGGTTCCCACTTGACACAGCAACCTCTAATTTGGGATCCGAGGTGGTACAGGTAACAGAAACTGTCCCTGCTGGGGCTGGGCTTCTGCCTTGGGTTAATCACCTTGTGGTGCTGGGACCCAAGGGCGGCTGAGCTGAGTTTACAGGCGATGTGGGTTTCTTTCCTGCTCACAAAACGCAGCCTGGAAGCTGTGCTGATCATTTATGTGAAGCTTCTTGTCAGATGCTTTCAAGGAAGATAAAGAATCTTAAACGCTTCAATTTTCATACTTAACAGACCACACTTGTGCTGAGAGTATCCTATCGGATGGAAAAAGGAAAGAAACACAGGAAACCCAGAAGAATTCTTTGGCAAAACAGGCTTGACAAAGTTTAAAAACACGCTGGAGGAGGTAAAGGTAACTTGGGTGAGTGTGCAGGTGAAATCATTCTGTCCCTCAGCAGGGATCTGCTCCCAGAGCTGCGGTGTAGCTATGGCAGCGTGCTGTACTCATGGGACACTGACATATTTATGATTCTAAAAATCTTAAAACCTGTTCCTTTGCCTATAATTAAAGAATTCACATGGTTTTTATCTTGTATCTGCCTGTTTGGTTCTGCAGTGAACTCATGCCAAAGAGAGAGCGAGATCCTGACATCTCAGTGTTCTCTGCCCACGTTTGCAAGAAGCAGAGAGACCTGGTTTGTGTTTCCAGACATCCTCACTTTTCTCCTCACCCTTGAGCTCTGCCCATTGAATTTCTTCCTCTCTGGGCTCTCAGTCCTGAAAAGATTTTGTCAGACACTGGCCCAGGTTGCCCAGAGAAGCTGTGGCTGCTCCTCCCTGGAAGTGTTCAAGGCCAGGCTGGATGAGGCTTTGAGCAACCTGGTCTAGTGGAAGGTGTCCCTGCTGATGTCAGGGGGGTTGGAACTGGATGATCTTTAAGGTCCCTTCCAACCCAGACCATTCTATGATTCTGTGATTAATCAGTGAGAGGAACAAGCAGGCCCAGAAAAGCTCTGGCTGACAAGGATGACACTTTGCTGCAGCTGGGTCCCTGCCTTGCCCCGTTGTGCAGTGCCATCTCCTGGAAAGCTGTGCCTGAGCTGCACACATCACAACCACAGCTCTGCTGCTGAACCAGCTCGTGGCTGCTGCTAATTGCTGCAAAATTCATCTTCTGACCCACCAAGAATTCCCCACGAAACTTCTCCTCCTCCAGTAGGTATGAAGGATGCCACTCCTTGCCTGGCTGCTCGCCCTCACCTCTGAGGTACCCAGTGCCAGAACATCTCTGTGTGGCTCTTTCCCACTCTGGATGCCGAATACCAATCTCAGGTACAAAGAGAACAGTAGAGGAGCACAAAGGAACATCTATAGATGTTGCTCCTCAGCTTTTCTTCTGCTTGGAGACCAGTTCCCTGTCCAGCTGAATGCCTTGCATATACATTCTCCCTGTAAGTGCCATGTTTACCTGTTTCTTCCAGTTTTATCTTTAAGGGATGCTTTTCTCTCTCCCTCTGCAAATTTGATGACCTCGTCGTGAGCAACAACCAAGCCCCTCATCATAGTGCTCACCCCGTATTTAAAACATGGCTACACCTTTTTAATGAGACAAAAATGTGTACGTGGAACTTGCACCTGAATGCTGCTGGCTTGACTAAGTTCTATATTTACCCTGAAAAGACAAGAAAAATGGGTGGTTCCAAGGGCAACACGTTTCCTCCTGTGAAATAGTAACACAGTTTGAGTGCTTAGTCACTGAAAAAAATGCACACTGCAAATTAAAGCCAAAGGCTGGTACTTCATCCACCATTTGAGGCTATTGTGGCATCTTCTGAGCAGTTGTGAGATTAGTATACTGCAGCAATCTGTCCCACACAATGAAATAACCACTGCTCCAAGGTAAGGCTGTAAAAGCTGTGACCTGAAAAAGACCATAATTATGTAAATACAGGGCCACAAAGTTCACAAACAAGAGAAAAGGGTTCCCAGATTTCTTTGTCTCTTCCTCAGCAAAGATTCTGTGTTGCAAACTTGTTGCAGTGAATTCATTTTGGCTCTGGAACATCCCAATAAACCAAACCAGCCCCATTTACCAAAAACATATTTTTTATTAAAATTCATATTTGTAAAGAAGAGATCATTACACAAATGAGGTAAACCAACACATATGACATAGTTTTCACTTTAAAAAATAAATTTCAATTGAGCAATTGATTTGATTCCACAAAGTCTGAGAGGAAGAGTCAGGCGAGTGTTACTCATGTGGTGAGACGCTGGACAAGGTGGGAAGACGCAGCTGACGCCGCCCTGACTCAGCACAGAGATGTCAGTGCCAAAGGGTCGGGAGCTGAACCCTTCTCACTGTGCTGTCCTTTCCTCCCCATAAGAGGCTGTGTCAAGGTTTAATTTGATTGTGCAAATTCACTCCTTCATCAGCCATTGCTCACCACGTCTCAGACCTAAAGGAGACTTCACAGCAAGCAAACACCAGCTCTGAAAAAGTTCAGTTTCAAAATAATATCTGGCAAGCAACAAGCCCGTTAAATGTGACACACTGCAAGGTACAGGGAGAAAGAGAGTTATGCTTCCTTCTTTTTCTTTTGCTTTCTTTTCTGAAGTTTGCTTCCATGTATGTACAAGTAGAGCTTTTAATCTAAAAGTTCATGAAATTACTGCAGGTCTGTGAGGATCACATTCACCATCCTGTGAATTAAGCTTTCTCAACGAGGACCAAGTCCCACAGCCTGAACACCTCCAAGAAGAAAAAAAATAGCTGCAATGTTGTTTTACTCTCTATAATGATAAAAAAATAGCAAGGTGAACCTCAGACCTGTTCCTCAGATGCCACTTGAAGCCAGCCAGCAGACTAACAGCGAGACTGTACTGGCTCCTAGCTCCTGACAAGCACAGAACAAACACCGCCGCCACCGGGACGAGATACCGCTCCAAAACGCGCTTGGCTAAAGCTCCCAAGTGCTGGAATCACTGCCTGGCTGAAGCTCTGCAGCCCAAGCCCACCTTGATGGATCAGGGTATTATGGAGGTGACAAACTAAGCAGATGAGACAGAGTTTCACCTGCTACACCTGAGTGAAACTCATCCAGGCCCTTGTGTATTAACTACACTGAGACGGGTAACACGCTGCCTCCGACACACGTCCCAGGACAGTAGCTGGTAACCAAGACATGAAATTTTCCTCACATCTGCCAGGTTTATAGTGAAATTTCATGACTGCACGCAGATAGAGCATGAGGTGAATGCACTATTTCAATCCCATTTATATCCTCAGGGGATGTGGGTGGGATTTAGGCTGCATGTAGGCTTGGTGCTGGTCTGCAGGGGCTCCCAGAGCCGTATCCATCACTTGGTGCAGAGAGAAGGTTGTGCCACGTTTCCAGTAAAGGCTTTCAGCCAGAGATGGAAATGCATTCACCACCCTGTGCTACTGTTTATGATAACTGTACCTTGGCAGCTGCAGTACTGAGATATCACAACAAGACTCTCCATGTCAGAAGTCAGTTAAAGGCTATAAATCTCGAGAGAGAGAAAGAGAGAGGAGTCATACTTAGGAAAGTTTTTTCCAAACAGAAATAAAAAAATAACTGTCTTTTTTTTTTTTCTTTTTTTTTAAATAAATCTATTGTTTGAGAAACTAAAGCAACCAATGTTAAGTTCCTGGTTTATTACACATCCTGCTACAGCTCTGTATGATGAGTCTGAAAAGGCAGATTAGCATGAGGTGAACAGAGAAAGAAAGCTGGGTAGGCTCAGCAAGACTCCAAGGCAAAGCCATTTCATTAAGGAGAGCTAGTGCCCCTTGTTCCCTGTGTCCACTGACAGCACGGGCAGGTTTTTACCAAGAAAGACATCCCATCTCTGTTTCTTTCACTGGATCATGCCATCCTGCTGCCCAGTCTGGCTGGAGTCAGCGGTGACCGATGGGCTGGGTGTATTGCTCTGCAAAAATCGACGGAAGTCCTTAATCATGGGGCGGAGAACCTGGATGAGGGCACTGAGTGCCGCCTGCGTCCCTTCCATGGCTTGTGCCTGTCGTTCCTGGGCGCATGCCTGCACCTCCTGAGAGCGACGAATCATCTGCAGCAAGTCATTCTGCTGCTCCAGGTGCTGGGCAATCTCCTTCACGTGCAAGTTGGTCACTCGCTGCTCCTGCAAGAGCTTGGCTGAGTTCAGAGCAATTCGGCTTTTCAGCTCCTGGGGTTTCGCAGACACCTCGTGTTGATGTGCCATCATCTCCAAGGGCGCTTCAGCGGTGACTGTGGTGGGGGCTTCTGTTGTGCAGTACTCCACGACTCCGTCCTCCAGACTGTGGTAGGTTGTCTCTGCAGGAACTGAGAACAAAGGACAGAAAGGGGGTAAGCAGTAGCTGCAATACAGGGATTTTTATCTACAGGACTATTCAGTGAATATTACAGGAATACTGCCTGTTCAGTGAGATAACATACAGTGCACAGCAATGCACAAAATGACCTGTTTAATCTACTCCACCCTCACATGAGCTTCCTTCTAGGCTGTACAGTCCAAAGAAATAGGGAATGCCTTATCTGTCTAGACAAAATAATTTCTCAACCTCCAGAACAATCTTTACAAGCAGCATTGACCAACTGACATGAGAGCAAAGATGTGACCCAGAATGGCACGGTCAGAAGGACAACTGCTCTTTGGGGCAGACTGGGAAACCAGCTATGGAGATGTTTCTTCCCCAGAGAGGGGGACTGGATAACCTGCAAGGATACTGGCTTCCCTTGTTCTTAAGGCCAAGCCCAGCTATCCAAGCTGACTTTCAGCACACACGTATCTTGCAGCTGCTCCCCTACAGCACGAGGCCATATGGGGAACGGCATTTTCAACACAGGGGTTTCTTTTTGCCGGGGCTTTGCCCGCACAGTGCCCAGGGCCTCCTCGTAGGTGGGTGTCAGGGCCCCCCTGTATGACCTTCCAGTCCAGCACAGAGCATCTTCAGCAGGCGCAGCACTCACTCTGGGTCAGGGTGACCGTGGTGGCTGACGCGGTGATGGGTATCTCGGTCCCATCACCTGTGCTGCAGTCCCCACTTGGCAAACTGATGATGGTGGCTTCTCCCAGCAGGTTGCAGATGCGCTGCTGCATCGGGGTGAGGATAACCGGGGCGGTCGTGGCGCCCGTCGGGTCTTCGCTCTCCGT